ATATATATATATATATATATATATATATATATATATATTCCTGCCAAAAGACAGCAACCAAAACCGGCGCACGAAAGTGCATGGTTAATGGTTGTACAAACTGAACTGGACTGATTAGGAAGGTTGACATCTCCCAAGATGGTAACATGGCAGTTGGGGTAGGTTGAAATCAGCGTTCAATGTTCGAAGATGGAAAATCAAAGGCGGAGGAGTTGCAACTATTGGGGGAACGATACAAAATACAAAAGTTATGGTTAACAGAGGGAAGTCGGAGTGTACACACAACTTTCCGGTGATCGCTAGGTCCTTGATGTATGTCACTTGTTCCAATCAGCTAACTTCAAATATAGATTATGAACCCGCAGAGAAGCAATCGTTCGAAAACAATCGAGAGCGACGGAGCAAATATGGTGAATAGTAACGCCTGTTTGCCTCATTGATCCGGTGTTTCTCTTGTCCGGTTCCTAAACTACTTGAACCGGTTTCAATCTCGCAACTTTTGACTTGACGGTATTGGTTGAACTGTGTGATTGATAGAGAGACACACATCTACCCGATCGACTGTTTCACTGCAATTTTCGGACCACATGACCAAAATAAACCAATCGAGGTGCACAAAAATGAGAAGAACTCACCGCACAGTGGTCGCGTGGACAGAAGTACCAAAGTTGGTGTGCTATCTCGAAGTCGGCCAGGCAATGAGCGCTGTACCCAGATTTCCAAACCCAGTCCACCATTTCCAACACGATGCCCCACGAGGTCAGCAGGCTTGAAAGGTGAAAGTCGAGTTGATATGGAAGATATATGCAGCGGTCGGAGTGGGACCAAAACCAATGAGTTTATTGGTCCTAACCGATTAGTATAGGTCAGTAAGCGAACTGAGATGTAGCGCGGTGCTGTTGAAGTAGTAGTGGTGTTTGATTCGGTAGCATCACTGGTCGGATTTAGCTGGAAAAAAGCCAGAATGGATCGGGCAATTTCGTTGGAACCGTCTGTACCCGAAGTAGTGCACGGGGCCGGAATCGGTGTCCCGGCAGCCGCAGTTGCGGACGTAACAGACCTCTTGTCAATGTCAGAAGGTACACTGAATGTGGAAGATTGGGGCTCGGTTAACCAGAGAATAAGCGTGTTATCCGAGTAGAGAGCTATTCGTCGATTGTATGCTGAATAGAAAAAGACAAAGTCATGGTTGATCAATACAATATGAATTATGAACGCCTACATGAAAAAACTGGATGTTACAAGATTGTAAAAATTTACAGAGTTGAATCGAAAAGAGACTCCCTCCCCCAATCGGTAGTAAAACAATTCACTAAGATGTTTGCCTGACCATCCGTAACTGCGGCCATGATCCCATCACAGGAACTCATTATTGTGAACGGTACTCGGTTGACATTCATTCACATTCTATACACGTTACTGTCTTGTTGGTAATTGCCGGTTTTTTTGTGACAAGTGGAAGGGTAAAAACAAGAATAGTTCGACGTCTTCAGATAAATCACTTTGTAATCGCAACAACCTTGAGACGGGAATCAGCCTTTACCAGTTTAGAACGTAAACTAAAATGAGTGCTGAACAAGTGTATTCGAAATGCTCGACTGTTGGTAATTGTTCCATGGATGGCCAACTGTCATTGAAAGATGAGTCCTAATGGTAAGACTTATTGGTGTCACCAGCTTGGAACGCAAAGCTATCATTTCGTGTGAAGCGGTAAAGCCGGATTACAGCGTTGTCATCCTGGAACACANGCTGGTTTCTGTTTTAGCTGTGGTTCAAATTGCATGGCATACGGCGTTAGGTATTGACGCTTCCGTCGATCAAAATCACAACCCACAATTCTCATCAGATCAAACAGTCCTATCCTCTTGTAATTTCAGTACATGCATTCTGTTTGTATGCCTATATCCCTTCGATCTTCAGACTCTCATCCCTCCATTTATAATGCGTAGCCAAAGTCTCGCATCATCGATTCACACCATTCTGTTCCCCGTCAATGACCCACATGCAGGTATGCATTACCCACTCGAGACGGGCCTTTTGATGAGAGTTGGTCATTTGAAGAATCTACACGGGCAGTCGTACATTTGGACCATAGTTCTCGAACACTTGTCTTGGTGCACCTTCTGATTTGAGAAAGATGTATTCCTATTGTTAAGGGTGATGAGATTACAACAAGGTGATCTTTACGCAGATATTGAAGAATTATTCGCTGTAGCCTGCTGTTTTCATTGAAGACCAACCAGTAACGGAGTCTCGAAATTCAGGAAATTTGGGTGCATCGCTTTGCACCTTGTGCGTGTATCTCGATGTGACGAAACGTGTTTTCGGTTTGTTTCACCAACAGTGTAGAGTGGGGTTACGTAAATGCGGATGGAAAACGGCAGCGTTCAGCGACAAACGATAATGTGATGATTTTCGCTACACTACACAACACAGACCAGTGCTGCAGGGGTAAACATCATAATCAGAAGGACATGCGACATGCACTCTGGTACTCGGTACAGATTATCGAACAGAACGATGGTTCAGGTGACTGCCGAGAACAAATTCAGTTCAGTTTTTACAACCATTAACCATTCACTTTCGTGCGCCGGTTTTAGTTGCTATCTTTTGATACCCCATTTGGATAAAAGAGTAGAGAACAAAGGATACCACAACCCCAGGGACTCGTTAAACCTCGTCGATATACAATACAGCGAACAATGAAGCACACAATGGCAGTATGCTGTCACGGAATCAAAACTGGAAAACATACGCAGTCATTACCGAGTTATCTGTCGGGTTGGGTAAACTCTTTTCAATCGTCACACTTCACCGCACACCCTAAATGAATTCAATGAACAGGGTAGCCGTAGAACTACTGCTTGTCATTGAAGGTTACCGATTTCGCATCTGGTTTCCCTACCTTGGTCGTTTGATTGGGTGAATACGAAGGCTGTTATACAACTTCATTCACATGGGATAGTATATTTGGCAACAAAAAAGAATCCATCTGAGGTCGCCAAAAAGATTTGACATATCTTAGACTTGAAATAGCAAAATGCTGTCAGTAAGATGGATCAAAAACCCTATTTCCAGAGGAATCATTACTCGGGTAAGTTTGCACTCGTTCGGGTGTTTCTGTTAGGAAAATAACAGGGCACTGTACCATTCCCTGTTGAAGAAACGAACGGAAGCATCTTGACGGCTAAAAAATCATGAAATTGGGGCAATCGGTGGCGGAATTTCTATCAATTTATTAAGAAAATCTCTGTTATGTGCAAAAGTAGTGGACTGTAACACCGATTGACAAAGAACAGCTAGAATTCGAACCCGGAACGAGTCATTTATGTTGGATCTTAACAACCGACTCAGGTGCTATTAAAATTATTCATTCACAGTCAATTTACTAGGTTTAGTTACGAAAAAAAAACAGAAAAACTCACTGAAATCTGCGTCCGGAACGGCACAGTACCCAGATGAACACGGACTGGCACTTAACGAGGATGCACACGATGCACGACGCGACGAACCCGTATCTCCATTGATGGGAGCGCTAAGCATTGAGGGTTGTGAGGTAGACAGACAGACAGTACTCATAGGGGACGTTAGTACCGGGATAGAGATAGGATCGGGACCTAGTGTGATCGGTTGGACCTTAATAAGCCGATCCAGGGATACAGAAAGCTGATCGTGTACGATGAAAATAGCAGCTACGACCCCGGTCAGACACTCTTCCACAGTTGAACTGTAGTTGCGAACCGATCCGGATGTTTGACCAGCTGAACTCACTGCACACAAGAAGCGCAGTTCTCTAGACAGGCCTTGTTTGGGTAACCATACGATTCCGGTGCCGGCGATGCTGTTAGAGAGAACCAGAGATCGGAAGCACCAACACGTAACAATGAGAAAATTCACAATAGATGGCCGCAATAAAAAACACCAATGACGAATATATGGTATCCCGTGGTTACAGTAGACCAACACAGTGATGGCTAAACCCTGGTTTGCTTTTGACGTTAGTTGGCTGGACTTTGGTTTGTTCATTAGAAGCACAATCTTCCGGAATATGGATTGCTGATCGGTTCCTAGAGAGTTACCTGTAATGGGTTTAATCACCACCGTTTACGCTCTGTCGAATTCAGCTCCTTCGATTGAAACCGATCGAAACTTTTATTTTATTTTGAATGCTTAGACTCAGAACTGGTTTGACAAACAGCTACATCACCAGCATGTGGGTTGGTGAACTCGGTTTCAGGTCACGGATGCACATAGAAAACACACAGGGAAACAGAACCGTTAACCAGAACAGCCAAATGTTCTCTGTACCCGACAGCGGAGGGAACATGAAAAAGAGTCAAAGACGAGTGAAAAATCTGAGAAAGAACACAGATGCGTCTAACAATTCAGTCACATAACGAGCGACAGCATTCAACCTTGATCTGATTGTTTCAAGTGCAAACTAAAGAGGATCTTCGGGGTAGTTGAAACAAGCAGTTAGACGTTTGAGAATGCCTCCCCCCTCGTCGTGCCAATTGAAGACCACATGACATTTGATCAATAGGCCGACAACGTTTGGCTGGAATATAGGATTGACAGGGTTTAGGAGTAGCAATAATTGTGACGGATCCCCAACAATCATGGATAGAATACACACAAAAGGATTAGCAAGGAAGTAAAGGCAACAACGTCTTATGTTCGAAAGAGTGATATAGTTTTACGAAGGAGTTTGAATGCCTCTTCTCTCGAAAAGGGGATAGAAGTAGCAGAATCGTCCGGAAACTGGGAGGATCAAGGCTCCGATAATTGTATAACTGTGCGGTTTACACTGTCAACTTCCATAACACAGCTCGTTGGTTTAGAGTACTTTTCACATGGAAACCAGGTACCTGTCTTTATATGTTTCCTGTTGTGTCTACATAGGAGTTGCTAAGCATAGGACGAGTCGAGTTGTTTTTTTTTCCTTTTTCATCAAAGCGAAAATGAATCAATCTGTGATATCCTATGCCCTCAACCAATGGCACACGGGATACGAGAAGCCAGTTTATCGAATCAGTCTGCCGACAAACAGCTGCTACCTCAGATCATTTAACAAATAGCATTCAGTAACAAGATTTTCTGTGAACGAATTACACATGATTTGATATTCGAGATTTAGTGAATCACGAGCGAAGAATAAATCGAGTGATGGGACGATCTGGGGAATGATTTTTGCGTCCTATCATCCTTGCTGCTTGAGAATTGCCGACAGATCAATGGACCACGAAAAGATGCGCTGAGTGTCAGTAAAAATTTGTGATTGATGAAAGGATAACCAGGGTGTTGCCAAGCAAGATAAACGAAGAATACTAGGCAAAGTTGTCTTTTTGTGTCAAATCAAGTCAAGACATCGCTTTTATTTGCTTCAAGGCAGGTAAATATTTAGATGCCATATAATCATTCTTCTGTAATAAAATATTGGAACGGTAGAGACAGTGTTCATGATAAAACATTAAGCACATAAAAGATTAAGCAAATTCAGCAGAGTTTGACTTTGAGGTTTTCAATGATGGGATTAGCGATATTAGGAAACTGTGCAAGGTACCATAGAACAGGCGACATGTCTGTTGTAGTGCGTGGAGTTATGTGCTTGTACTTGGAGTTTATGGGGTGTACGGGATATCTGATAGGAGTAGCAACTACCATATCCTCTTGGGGGCAAACTCCTTCGCTTTGGTCTCCACCAAGTACTCAACTCTCGTCTGTGACATCTCAAAGATGAGGCAGAATGAAGGCAAAGGAGGTATAAAGTCCTTGACGAACCGGTGTACGGCATAAAAAGGCAGCCACTGCTGAACAAGTGGACGAGATCTACTATTATGATTCCACATGGCGCTGCCTGAACGAGGATAGTTGTTTATTATGGATAACAGTCAAAGTTAAAGTTTTATTATGGGAATTACTTACAAGCTCATGCTTCTCTTGTCCCCATAGGATATTTACACAGATGAATTGGTTCTCGGCGAAAAAAATTACATACAGTTTCAGGTAGGAGACTCTAGAGAATCTTGGCTTCAATGAATTTGCGTTTGCTTTAATGGTGTAGGAATGTGAGATGTACCAAGGTTTTATCGAATCTCCGCTTAAAGGATTCAATAGTTGGTGCACAAGCGACGTGAGATGGAAGAGTGTTCCAAGTACTGCATACTCTGACTGCAAAAGATTGGCGCCGGCATTCCATTCGACACTTCGGAATCAGTAGCTTGAAATGGTGTCCCCTTAGGTGTGCATTGTTCGATGACACGAGCAGCTGCCGACATGGATGGTTCGGGTTCTGCAGTATTTGATACGTCAAAATCAAGCCTCCCCGAATTCGGCGGTACTGTGCAGAACATAGTCCCAATGATCATAATCTCTCCTTACAGACGAGGCAATGCAATCCCTTGACTATCTTGGTGGTCATCCTTTGTAGGCGCTTATTATATCGGTAAATTGACAAACATACAATAAAATGCCGCATTTGGAAGGAGTTTTCAGAATTTCCACACGTACGCAGGATAGGTAATGGAACGGTCCAGTGGTAGATGCCCATTCCTGGAGTTACTATAAGGTACACAGCAGTCCACACTTGGTTGTGGGAAGCTTAGAGGTGTGGCCTCGAAAAAACAGAGGGACTCTAAGGACATCTCTCATACCAAACTATCGTAAACATTCATATTGATGGTGAGTGAACTAAGTACAGAGTAGATCGATTACAAGCGACTAAATACCATTCTCTGAGAGAGTAGGAAGAAGTGTTGTCCTATCGACACAACTGAGGGCGTCACAGCCAAATGACTTCGCATTTCCGGTCCAAAGAAGAAAATGCACCGTGAGTGAAGTGCAATTCACTGGATGAAATCCCTTGAGACCTGTTTGTACTGAATAATAAGTTTATACACTTAATAGGTTTCATCACATTCGTATTCCACGTGTGGAGAATACGTGAACCCACGAACAAAAAGACAAGAACGTCATAACAGCAGAGCCTCGAATGGGTTCACCCGAGCATACTAAAACTTTACGTGTTTTCTTTTGTGAAGGCACACAAATAACACTTTCCTCATGCTATCAGCGTTGACAATGAGCTATGATGGTTTGAGATTTCAGTTTGTACAACCACGAACCATGCACTTTTGTGCGCCGGTTTTGGTTGCTGTCTTTTGGCCGCCCAATTGGATAAACAGTGGGAGAAAGACAGGAAAGTTGAAAGCAAAGTCGAATTTCTGTGGATTGATGTTGCAAAGAAATTGAGAAGATGCCCGAACGCCACTGTTTACGACACCCAGCCATATCACTCAGTGCCTCTAACAATCGGCAACGACCATCCCGAGATCCCCAGTCAATGAGCCTAATGGGACCTATGTGACCCAGTCCCCTGGTTAGGGATTTCATACCGTCGAGCCAGGTTGACCACACTTGACTTTATTCTACCCACTATCTGCCTCGGCAAACATCGCGCACCGTGGAAACCTATCTGGTGACTTGCGTAACACACCCCAAAGAACGTAATCTATGGAGGCCGACCACTTGCCCCAGCGGGCGATCGCAGTTAACTAAACCTCTGCGCCTTACCTCAGCACTGCTCGTCCGGCTACTCCACCAGATTCGTGCAATGCTGCGTAGACAGCGGTGTTCAAAACACCGACAATCTATTTTTATCCTGTTCGCTTAATAGACGAATCTCTGCACCGTAGAGCAGAACTGGCCTAACTGTTGCAGGATATACTCTACACTTCACAGGGAGACGAGTGTTGCGACGGCGCCAAAGATGTCTCAAGTTGGCAAATACCAACCGAACCTTCCGTAAACGCACCGACATTTCATCTGTGATGCGTCCGCCAGATGAGATACACCTGCTCTAATAACAAAACTTGTCCACTTCCTCTACTACTTCCCCAGTCAGGGTGAGACTGAGGGCTGGGCCAACCCAATCTTGTGGTAACATTTTACACTTTGAAGGTGCAAAAGGCATATCAAACATGGCTACACTGGTACTCAAGCTATCTGAAAAAGCTTGCAACTTACCTGGATCTTCAATTACCAGCACAATGTCGTCTGCATACTCCAGATCAGATAGTCTTCCGCCTGGAAGTAAATCGATGTCGCTATCCTCAAACGAGGATAGGGCTATTTAAATAATCGGTTAGTGATCAGGACGAATAAACCAACATGAAAAACAATTCCCAGGCGCAGGTTAAACGGCGCAATGGTTCACAGTAGAAAGGGCGAACGGGTGATCACTGACCCGACCCCCGAACGTCGCATGCACGTGGCACCTTAGCCAAAGCAACCATAGTGATTGATCTTTCGGATCAATTATGGGTAGTGATTACTAATCACAGAAAATTGATTGAAGACGTTGAGTGAAGTAAGCACCCGGGGATCTCCGATTAGGTGAAATAGCAAGAGGGATCACCACTTACTCTGCTCTATTTGTGCAGAATGACGAAACACAATCCACCGCGGATTTTGTCGATGATACACAAGGTATAATTGGCCAAACTTGAATGGTCCATGATATACTAAATTCGTCAGAAAACCCGCATTTAAGAGAAATTACGTTATTGCAAATCAGTATAAGGTCACTTGTATTAGGTTTAAGTAGTACATAGCGAATTCTGATCCGTAATTCCAGGCTCCCATAGATCGCGATGCATTCTGCGCTATTCCTTTCTGGTGAACAAAATATGTACCACAGGTACTGCCCGTTATGCTTGCGTGCCTTTTTACTAAACAGGATCACCAAAACAGCTGATATCGGAGCTGACCTCTGCACAATTATACGGATGTTCGTTTTCTAGTCACCTTTCGAGTACGAAACATGGGAAGATCATGGGTCATCGAAAGTATATTTATACAAATACAATAATTCACCTTAACTCTTCTTTATTCAATGTATTCTCCAAATGGAACGATATCCATATCCATTAAAAAAAACATCAGACAATTCCTTTTGTTGTGATTCGTTTCGATCACGTTCACGATGCATACAGTCTGTCTGTACGATCACGTGCATACAACTTAGCGTGTAGCGGACTGTGACCGTTCCTTGTTTTGGATCAAATTAACTTCCTAGCTGCATTGTCTTGCATTGAACATTGATTACAGTTGCTGTACTTTATTTGTGTGCGGTTTGTGCTGTGCTTCTTCCTCTTGATCAAATCAAAACTAACCTAGAAATCGGAACACATTGTATTGACAGATTAACAAAGCGGTATACAAAATGCTTGGTTAACGGAGTGTTTTGTGTGATCTAAGTCACGTGAAAAACTTGACAGAAGCCTCGGGTTCAATTGTGTCAGCCGGTACGACGAATCCCGATGCTGAGAAGAAGGATTAACTGTCTCCGTGATTCGTATTCTTCCTGTAGGCTCCCATTTGTGTTCAGATGATCACAAAGTTTTACATCAACACTAATACCTTTCCTGTGCCAATAATTTCACCGACGTTTGGTCAAAAACAGTAGAAAAAATTGCACCGACCATTGATTTGCTCTGCGTAGAAACAGAGTGAGAGTATTTAAAGCACTTGCCGCATGAATTGAAAGTTGAGTATTATATAAAAGATCACAATTGCACAAGATTAGTCTTTTTTATTACACAACCAAGTGTGATGAGCAGTAGACGGGGAAAACCCCACAGTCACGAAGACCTGTTGTTCAGTGGTGGAAACCGGCAATCTAAGCCACGGGACTTGGAGTGGTGAACCACCCAAGGCCCCGATAGTTTAGGCGTGGTATTGAAACGGACGAGAGCAGAGCTGCTTACCGTCAAAGTCGGGCGGCGATGGCGGGGCTCGAATCTCGGACCATAGGGTCCAAAGCAGGCCGATAACAGCGACTAGACCACTACGCCACCACCACCCAACTATCTTATTTTTCGTTCAGATACTCTCGAAAATGCGTATATTGCACCACAATGCAATCAGTCTCGTTTTACGTTTGCCAGACCATGAGTTTGTATGTGGGAGAAGACACCTGTCGAGTTGAGGTTTACATGGCGGGTTGGAGCGCTCGGGTTAGAAACATCGAACTAAAACGTCATGCATCCGCAAATCGTAATGAAAATATCGTTAAAACAACAAAATGGAATAAGTGAGTGTTCGGACAAGTGCTGCGTATGCTTAGCGTTCGTCTACTGCACCGCTCCTTTTTCCAGTTATCACTTCGAAGAAGCTCGGGAGAGCAGAGCTGTATGCTACCGAGCGCGTCCCCAGGTCGCGGATAGGAGAACGGCCGT